AGTAGCCTAAGGATATGATGTAGTCAAGTATGACCATGAGAAGAACACTGTTTAAATGGGGAAAAGTGGGAAACAACCTAAGTGTCCAACCAGAGGTAAATGGTTAGACTACAGTGGATCTGTCTACACAATGGAACATGACATGGCCATTGAAGAGGAAAACAGGTATTTACTATCATGGACAGACATGCAGGGTGTACTAGTGAGTGAAATGCTATGAGATCCTAGTAAGTGTATACACAATGTTTCCTATGTATGTGAATATTGAAAAAGTCTGAAACGTTATACATAAAAATGTTAACAGTGGTGATCTTTGGGTGGTGAAATTATGAGTAACTTTTTTTTTTTTTTTAAGTTGAGCCATCCTGCCACCTGTTGGCAGCTCAGTGGCTGCTCAGCTCGGGCTGGGCATCGAACTGCTGTTGCTCAGAGCTCAAACTCTTGAGTGAGCTCTTAACCAACTGAGCCACTCGGTCGGCCTGCTATGAGTAACTTTTAATTTATTTTTGTTTATTGAAATTTTCTAATTTTGGGGTCGCTATTATATTTGACAGCCCAGTGAGTCCTCAGAGCAACCCAAAGTGGTAGGTTTTATTCCTCTCCGCACTTCATAGATGAGGAAATTGAGGTTTGGAAAGGGGAAGGCACGTGGCCATAGTCCAGAGCATGGACTGAAACCCAGATGCCCTGGCCCCAAAGCACCAGCTCCACCCCTGCGAAGTCCCGCCCCGCTCCATGGGCCCTGAGCGATGCGACCGCTCCCGGGAGCCAAGGCCTCTGCTGTACTCACGCTCGGGCTCCGGCTTCTCTGTGTCACCCACTCTCAAAGGTCGGGCTTTGGGCTCTTCTTTGTTTCTCCGAATAGGGGCATTAAGCTCCTCGTGATAAACTGGACCAAAAGAGACCAGTGGACACATCAGACAAAACATGGGAAGCCGGGGACCTCAAACCAATGGGGGCAGGGGCGGGGCTGCTTCCCCAGAGGAGCTTACATCGGTTGTGCTGCACGTAATTCACCGCCATGTTGGTGGGGACGAAGGATGTCTCACTGTCCTTCTTCTTGTTCTGCTGCTCTGCCAGGAGACGGGCCTTGGCATCCTCCGTGGAAATGATATTTTTTATTTTAGCACTACGGGAAGAAAAGAGCCATGCCACGCATTAGATCACCGCACCTCTGGTCCTCAGAAGGAGATGCACGGTGAGTCTGGCAGCCCACCATTGCGGAAGGAAACCATCTTTCTTGGGGCACAGCTACGTAGTTTGCCAGCTCCCTTATGGCCACATTCTCAGGGAGCTCTCACAGCTATCAGAGAGGTGGGAGCTATCCTCTTCTGATCAAGAGGAAACTGAACCTCCAAGAAGTAAAGTGAACTGCCTAGGGCTCAAAGCTAGAAAGGCCAGAAAACAGGCGAGAACCCAGAAGTCTCCCAACTTTCTACTAGACCCAAGGACAATTCTGACCACTGTATTTGCTCCATAATCATCCCTTTTAGGGCAGATGTTCTATAGTAAAAATGACAGGAAGATCACGGGGTGGCTAAGCCTTTACCATTGCTCCTGCTAGAATAAAACAGAAGAATACAAGGGGCTGGCTAGAACAGCTGAAGAGCTGTGAACAAAGGCTAAATAAAAATAAACGCTGTTGCTTTCAGCAGTCAGGGTCCCCAAGTCTCTTTTACGACTCTGACCAACTCTTCAGAGAAACTCCTGGGCACCATCATCTCAGCCACCAGAGAATACAGTTTGTGTGGGTTTCCAAGGAAACAGGTAAGAAATAGTCCCCTCAACTTTGAACTGGGAAGCAGAGAGCTCTTCCTCCAGGCTGGGGGTCGGGGAAAGGCAGACCACGGGTTTGAAACATACTCGATGCCCAGGTCCACCTCGGGGATGCCACTCAGCATCTGGTTGGAAAGCATCTCCTCGGTCTTTTTTGCTGAGGAAACGCGGATGTTTTCTGGAAGTTCGTAAAGACAGTCCTCTGCATTCTTCGGCTTCACTTTCTGTTCCTCATGTTCTACGATCCCTTTTCTCTTCTTCAGCTCCGTCTCAATGTACTTCATCCTGAAACGAGAAACCCACGGGCCTCAGGGAGGGGCAGAGTGCTCACAACGGGCGTCTTTCAAATTAGTGATCCCCAACACTGGCCCATGGAGCAGTGACGGTCCATGAAGCTTTCATCAGCCCATGGGAGAGGTGAGAAAAATAAAAGTAACTTGAATTTTTTCATGAAGCTAAAATTTACAGCTTAAAAGCACCAACCGATGAGATTATGTCCTACCACTCCACTGGTGTTATCATATGTAAGGTTTTTCGAAGACAGAAAAATAATGGTAGGTGATAGTTGTCGGCAAAATAAAAAGTGGATAATCCGATGTTTATCGGTGCAATCTTTTGGGGAAATATTACTAGTCAAGGAATCTAAAATCTCAAGAACCACTTTTAAAGAACTTTTAGGAGTTGTTGAAAGTTTTCAAGCCTCAGAGATGGGGCAAGAGGGGCCAATTTTGATGTCTTTGGATAATTCTACAAATGTCATCTGTGACTAAATATCTTGGACTGTATCTGGCTGGAGCCCACCCTCAATTGTTCACAGTAAAAGAGATTGACACCTACATGTCAGCGTCCTCGTCCCTTCGGTTGGTTTCTGCAGAAAACGATGTACCCAGGTGGAGGTCTTCCTCTTCACTGATCCTAAAAGGAGAGGAGAGTGAAGCAGAGCCTTCAAGTCACAACTCAGTGAGGCTGAGTTTTATGTTATACAAATAAAACAGATATGCAACAAAAAAGTGTCATCCTGTTTATAGTGGGAAAAAACTATACCGGATATGTAAATAAATATATGCAAGTGAATTGCTGGCCTCTGGAGATTCCTCTGGGGAATGAGTAGATGCTTTTATTTTTTACTCATGTATTGTTTGAATGTGTTATTTTTATAATTGTGTTTTTATGTTTTCTTAGAAAAATAAAACTTCCACATGGATTTGAAAGACAAAAAACAATGCACCTTTACAAAAGGAGTGTGCCCACATCTCTCTAAGCTAACTTTTAAAGAGTTTTTGTGTTTTGTTTTTAAACCCTGTACAAAGCACAAAGGATACTTGAAGATGTCCCACTAATGCTTACTGCTGCAGGCCCCAGATCTCTGGAGGCACACAGACCCCAGGAGGGGTACAGGTGAAGCTGTCAGCACGTCCTGCACTTACTTATCTTTGCCCCTTTCCTTCAGTTTCTTCATGTCCACCATGCCACCTGTCTTCATCTGAAAGGGGTCATCCTGCAGAAAACAAACACAGCTAAGAGGAAACATCTATATACTTGGCAGTGGATTTTTTTTTTAAAGAAAACACCATCACTCATTGAAGAGCACCCACATCTTCCCACTGCCCAGGGAGGACCCCACCACTTACCACTAGAGTGGTCTCTTCTTGTACCTTCTCTCCTACCAGCAGGGCCACAGCACTGAGCAAAACCAAAAAGGGAGGGAGGGTAAGAGAGAGGAATGGCACATTTTAGAGATGAGAAAGAATGTTTAGAAAGTTTGTAGGTTGCAATGTTAGTGCAAGGGTGAGATTTAAGGGATGGGCGCCAAAGCCAGCTGGAAAAGACTGCAAGAATACAACAGGGCCCAACAAGCACTCTAGATTGTGTGTGTGTGTGTGTGTGTGTGTGTGTGTGTGTTGGGGGGGGGGCTGGGTGAAGGGGTACACTTTCCTATAAAGCCATTTGGCATTATCTTGGCTTGGAAATATGAGTTCTAAGATTTTGCCTTTGGGGAAAATGAAGCTAAAGACAAATGTAAGAAAATAGCTATTGCAGTCTTATTTGACAAAAGTTGACAAAACAACCTACGGGTCCTCAAATAGGGAATTAGCTAAATTATGGACAGACATTTGGTGGAATGTTATGTAGCCATTAAAAAGGTTTTAGGAAAAATAATCCACGATGTGAGTGAACGTTCAAAATGTCGTATGTAAAGAGTTGAAAACAACATAGAATAAAAATACTCACTATCCTTTACAAAAGAGAGAAAGAATGCAGATCGGAAAGAACAGTAAATGTTAACACGGGTTACCTCTGGATGGGAGAATTATAGGTGCTGTTTATTGACCTGTTTCTGCACCTTTGGAGCAAACCTTAAGACCACACGACTCAGGGCATCTCCTGGTTAAACACTTTCAAAGAACTCTAGCCCCCTTTCAGGGCAGTGGAAGGTGTACAGTGTGTCAAGAAAAGGGGCTATGTCTGAGGAGGTATTTGTGACAGCAACAGGGGCAGGGGTGTGTATGTCATCTCCTTCTCCTCCGGGTACCCCCGCGGTACCCACCTCACCCCGTTGGGCCGCTTCCTCAAGTTCTGCACCTCTCGAGTCTCTTCCAGTTTTAATCTGAAAAAAGGCAATACGCAGGCTGAGAGACCCTCCGCAGAACTCAAGTCAAAAGGCAGCTTCGACCTGCACCCCAGCCCGCTGCTGAGCCGCGGGCACAGCGGTACGGAAGGCGAACCTGCGCCAACCGGGAATCAAATCCACCGCCCACCCCGGAGACACCTCTTCTAACTGCGCGGCCTTGGGGGCGGCGGCCACGTCACTAGGACCCTCAACTTCTTCACCCGCAGAAAGAGACAACAATCCCCGCTCACAGCGATACTGTCAACCAGGCGACCGGCCGATGGCGAGTCCCCAAGCCGGCCTCTCTTTTCCTACCCCGTGGAAACCCCACCCCAAACGCACCGAACCTCCTCTGAGTCCTCATCTTCCTCCGACTCCGAGTCGGCCCGGCGCCGGCGGAAAGTCTTCCCGGTGACCGGCATGATCGCGCCGGCCCTGCGGTTCAGCCGCTGCGCGAAGGCCTGCTATGCTTCCGGCGCGCAGCCAAGTGGTCAGAGCGCCAGTCCCGCCTGGCCCCGCCCCAAGCTTCGCCTGGCCCCGCCCCGTCTCCTACCGCCCACCTGGCCACGCCCCCATCGGTGGCGTCGGCCTCTTCCGATTGGGAGGCCGAGGAGGAGAAGGCGGGGCGCGGCCAACCGGCCCCCAAGACCCTGCGTCGCGTAGCGGAGGGCGCGTTTGACTGACAGGCTGCGGCGGCGCGGTACCGACTGCAGGTGAGTTTCGGGCTGCCGCGGACTGCTTCTGGGGGCCGGGCCTCTCGGAGCAGGAGCGACCCAAGCCCGGCTCTGGGCCGGCGGGGGCCTGGCCCTGCCAAGTGCGCTGGACTCCGCGGCTAGGTGAGCGGAGCCCGGGACCCCCCGGCCGCTGTCGCCCATTTCCTTCCTCCGCCCGGCGCCCAGGGGGTCCTTTGGGGTCCCATCGCCCTACTTCGAGCTCCCGGGGGCTTGCTGCTTCTCCGGGACAGGGGCCGCCATCTCTTTTATTTCTGCTTGGGCCTGATCCAGCGTTGAAAGCACGCATGTGGCGTTCGGGGCGCTGACTTTTATTTCCCCGGGGTCTGGGCCCTGACGTGTATTTTTTTCGTTAGGGACAAAAAGATGACCACTTATTAGCGGCGATGAATTAAAGCCCCAGCGCCGACTGCCCCGCTAATAATGACGTCCAGCCACTTCTCCCCGAGGAGAGGCGCGTCGGATCTTTTGAACCCACTCGGGAGGGCTTGGAGGACATAGGGCCCCTCCTCGGGTGCTTGCCGGCCACCTCTCTGGACTTTCGGGGGCCTGATTTCGTCCTTTGTCACTCGGACTATCACTCTGCCCTTTGCTCCTTCTATCCCAGGGATGCTGTGAGGATTAAGTTTATTTGAAAAACGGGCATCAACAAACGCTTAGGAAATAACTAAATGCATAAATAGTGGCTTTCCTTTTTTCAATATAGGCTGGTCCTTTCCTTTGAAAAAGAACTAGCTCTTATTAAGCGCTTACTGTGTGGCAGGTACTGGGCAAAGCATGATCTCGTTGAACTCTCCCAACACTCCTGTGAAGTAGATTCAGTTATTTTTCAATTTGCAAGTGAGGATCCCGGGCTTCAAAGAAGCAATAAATGCCTCAAGTTACACGGCTGGAAGGTGGAGCAGGGGTCAGTCGCAGGCCTACCGCTGCTGCACACTTTGCACAGTGCCTGGCACAGTGAGAGTCCAGTAAATGTTTGCTGCAGCGGCTGTTATTCCAGCTCATTGGCTGAGGGAAGGTGCTGATGGAGACTGTTTGGGGTTCCCTCTTTGGGAAGAAGCTGGGCAGCATTTCTGGAATGCCTTACTTTTCTCTGGAACAGCCTCCTTTGAGATTGTTGTTCTCTCCCTTGGACTGAGACAAATAGTAGACTCAGGACTTCTTGGAACAGCCTTTTGGCTTTGGTCAAAGGCTGCTCAGTAGCTGCTGTGTGACCTCCAGCCAGTTACTCCACCTCTCTGAGCTTCATTCTTTCCTCTTTTAGTGATGGAGGTGGAGATGGGTTTAGCTCCCAAGGTGGCCATCCCCCAAGGCGGTGATGAGGAGTTAGTGATTTCTCTTAATATCAGTTACAGTACACAGGGCCGTTCGGGTGGGGACAAAGTGGGGAAGGCAAATGAGAACTGGAAATGTGTGGGAAGCAGGACTTGTCAAGGCAGGAGGAACCTGAAGGCTCTGCTTTGCGAGTCAGAAGGATGGTGGACTCTCAGTGAACTAAGACTGGGTTAAAGGAAGGAATGTGTTTGGGATTTAGGGAAAATGGAGCTGCGAGGGCAGGACGGAGGGAAAGGGAACGCGCTCTGAGGGGCACAGGGGTGTGGGCGAGGGTGTGTGGGGTGTGGGTTTCCTTACGTTAATGGGCGTGGCAGTGTCACCTTTCCTGTCCTGAGGAACATGGCTCCTGCCTGGGAGGAGGATGGAGCCAGAACCTCCAGGAAAATGATGAGTAATGGGCACGTGAGGCCTGGTCTCAGCAGCTGGTGCCAGGCCCGGATGTGCTGCCTGCCTGCCTGTGTCCCTGGGGAGGCACTTTCCCCCTCACTCAGTGAAGGCCCCAGGGAGGGGAAAGTGCCTGTCCTTGTTCAGGATGAAGCATCTTGGAAGCCTCGCCCGATCCTTGCATGCAGGGGCTTTGTGCCAGACCTACCAGCCTGCCTCTTTTCTTCCTGCTTGCTCATCCCCAAGAGATGAGGCAGGTCTGGTGGGTCAGGAGGCAGAGGTCCTCTGGGGTGGGTGTGGTGGAAGTGTAACACCCTTTGGCTGGCAATTTGGGCACCGGCTGTGGAGCGGGCACCTCACAGGCTCCCAACAGCACAGCACAGTCATCCAGCTGCTCTCAAGAGCGCCTGTTCCCAGCATCCAGTTCTCTGAGCAGTGCAGGTTTCTTCCCCTTTTCAGTCTTTATGAAACACCTACTATGCACAAACCGTTTATTTGCACAGAGGGAAGGTTGGGAAGGGCTATGAAGGCAGACACACCTGGCTCACTTCTAGCTGTGTCACTTCCTCGCTGTGTGGCCTTGGGCAGGTGTCTTCCTGTCTAGGAGGCTCCATCCTTCCTCTGTAAGATGAGAAACAGTGGTCCTTACCTGAGAGTGTAGGTGACGCACTGGGTATCGTGCCTGGATCCTGAAGCCCCTGTTGTTGATTTAGAGTTACCTTTTCTAAAAGACTCCCTTCCTGCTCCCACCTGAAATGCGAGGAAGGGAATAATCTTAAAAATTTCTATTAAAAAAAATCAAACGTACAGAAAAGTTACAAGAATAATAGAATGAAATCCCATTCGTACCCTTCACTTAGATTCACCAATGATTATTTTTGCCCTGTTTACTCTCTCTATATTTATATGCTCATCATCATTATTGCTGATCCATTTAAAAGTAAGTTGCAGATATCGTGACCCTTTCCCCCTAAATATTTCAGTGGGAATAATCCAAGAGCAAGGACATTATAATACACAACCAGAAAACAGTTTCCATCTTTAGAAACTTTGATGTTGATATGATTCCATATCAGTCTGGTAGCGTGACCATAACAAAGTCCCACAAACTGGGTGGCTTAAACCTCAGAAATGTATTTTCTCACAGTTCTGGAGTCTGGAAGTTCAAGATCAAGGTGTCAACAGATTTGGTTTCTTCCGAGGCGTCTCTCCTTGCCTTGTAGTCGGCTGCCTTCTTGCTGTGTCCTCACATAGTCTTTCCCATCTCTGTATCCTTGTGCCTCTTTGCGTGTCTAACTTTCCTCCTCTTATAAGGGTATCAGTCAGACTGGATGAAGGTCCACCCTAAAGACCTCATTTGAACTTTATTACCTCTTTAAAGACCTTATCTCCAAATAAGATTAAATTCTGAGGTATTGGGGGGTAAGGACATTGTCAACATATAAATGTGGAGGAGGGGACACAATTCAGTCCATAACAAATTCTATTATCTAACATGTCCATATTCAGATTTGTCAATTGTCCCACTAATGCCCGTTTCCCATTGATCCACGATCCAAGTTTGTCATATCTCTTGAGTGCCTTTTATCTGAAACAGCTTCTCAGCTTGTGGTGAGAAGGAGAATCAAGTTGCTGGAAGCAGAGGTGCTGGCTGCCTCAGGACAGGAAAGCTGTGTAAGGATTTGCTCCGTTTCCTGGATTCGCTTTTCCTGGTTTTAGTTTGATGTCAAAAGTACCAGGAGGTGAGCTTGGATCTCAGAAAGTAGCACTGAGAATCACCACTGCCATGGATGAGGAAACTGAGGATTGAGTGATTTATCGAAAGACACACAGCTTGCAAGTGACAAGAGCAAGTTGCTGAACGCAGGGCTAGCTATCTTTATTACTTCCTTCTATAATTATAGTCAACTCCAGGATTAATCTGTGTGACATGCTGACATGTGGTAAGAGCACAAAAAAAGGTGGCTACCATTAGTAATTATAACATCACCAGTGGCTGCATACAGGTACCCTGGTGTTGAAATATGGCACTCTGTTCCCCATGAAGGTGGGTCCCATGCCTGGCTTGTTTTCCATCACCCCCAGTCATTGCCCCAAGGAGGAGCTCACTTAGTGTTGGTTGCGTAGCAAGATAAAGCAAAGTGAAAACTTTTGGACAGCTGAGATAAGCACTGTACAATTTTTGCAGATGCATGCACTAGTGTGTCAGGTCCTGCGTGTGGAATATTAAGCACCCACAGTTTTTTGGTACTACCACTCAACTTTTCCCTTCATATAAACTGATTTTTAACCATTAACTTAAAAAAAAAAGTTAGTAAACCTTAAACTTTCTATGTTGGGCATGCACTTACACTGTTGTGGGTAGGCAGATAAATTTATATAATTTTTCTGGAGGGAAGTTTGTTAATATATATCTGGAACTTTCTAAGCATCCATTTTGACCCAGTAATTTTTCTTTTGGTCAAAGATGTAGTCAGAGATTTATATTCCAAAATATTGCTCACTGCCTTATTTATGACAAAACACACACACAAATAACCTACGTGTCCAACGGTAGGAAAGTGGTTAAGTAAGGCATATGTAGCTCACATGGGACGTAGTATAATTCAGCCATTAGAGATGAAGTTGTTGAAAAGAAGCTTAGTGACATGATATAAGCCAAACAAATCTGTATACAAACTGTATATGTTATATTGTAGTTTAGTTTTTAAATTTGCATACTCATACATCGGAACAACTTAACCACAATGGTAACCGTATTTTTTTTTCTGTATAATAGGATTATAGGTGATTTATATGTCATTTTATGTTTGTCTCTGTTTTTCAGCTTCTACAAAGGTGTATATTAATTTTATTCAGACCAAACAAATATCTTTTTCTATTTTCAGGATAGGTAGAAGATGATGAAAAATTTTAATCCAACGTGGACGTTAATGAGGCTAAAACAAAGGTGTTAAGAGCAGGTTTGCCACACAGTGAGTCACATGGTAAAAAGACATCCACTTAGGCACGTCCTCTGTTGGTTGGGGCTTCCGGGACCACTCTGGTGCTGCTGCCCTTTCTCTGAAATGGCCCTCGCATGTCCTGTCACCCGTGTCCTGTCCACACTCTGTGGGCCTGGAGAGTTCCAGGGTGGAGCTTCTGCCACCCCCCGAGTACTCTCTGGGGTCTGGGGAAAAGCAAGGACAGTCCCAGGAGGTAACCACATACCAAAGAAGCCAGACACATCTTTTCTTTCTTTCAAAACTTTAAAAATAATTAAA